TGATTCCTGTCCTAATGGGCCCTGCCATCTAGGGATAACTGCAGCCTTCCTACTTTGCCTCTTTTTCCCTTCTCCTCTATTATCGTCTACGCACATTATGAACCCACACTCCTCCAACCTTTCTTGGTGATCCTAACTTCCTGAAAGGTGATCTTAATTCTCATATTTCTCTGCCGTGTATTTTTCTTGGCTGAACTGGGAGATATTGTTGACTTCAGACCCTCAGATGTTTCATCACTAAGAGCAGGATCCCTGTTGGGCTAGGAGGATCATGGACTTAGAGAGGTTTATAGAGCATATAAACTTCTGACTACCTCTCCAAACAGAAACTGCAATGATTCTTTGAAAGCTGCATAATAAATCTTTGGTTTATATGGCTATTGTTTTAGTGTATCTTATGCATATTTTCAGAATCAGGGCAATTTTACTGCTAAACCCCCTAGGGGTTTTCTTTTTCCTTGACTTATAAAGAAGTGGGGGTTAACCTCATATTCGCATTTTGTATGTCAATTCTTAGCTACTTAGTTATCTAATCGCATGACTTGTTTGCTGTTGCTGTGTTTTGCATGCTTTCAGTGAGAAGGCAAACTGCTTGAGAATGGGGTGCAGTGCCAAACACCACGCAGTTCTCCATCAGGACGCCCTTCCCCTTGTCTCCCACAGCACCCTACGCTTCTAGCAAAGTAACACAACTGCTGGTTTTCTTCTCATGCACCAGGAGGTAAGCACTCTGAGGACAGAATGGTCACTTCTCTTGTTCACTCTATTCAGCAAATTAGTAGAGCACCTTGTATAAGTGCTTGATAAATATTTGTGGAAAAAGTTAATGGGTCCCCAGATGGTAATGGAAATCTGCAAGCTAATTTCAATACTGAAAAAAGCCAAACTGACCTCAAAAAGTGTTTTTGAAGTGACTTAACTCCCAACAGAAACCCTGCATTTAACAGTAGCAAGGATTCCTAATAAAAAAAGGCTATGTGATTTGTTTATGGGTGCTATTAAAAAACTCAGTGTGATAACACAGGTTATGTCATGATGATCAAAAGATCTAAGTGGCTATGTTATGTCTTTGACTAATAAAAAATGTGAAAACAAACTAATTGTTTAAATAAATGCAGTTTTTTCCTCTCCGTGGGGAAGAAAAAGGTAGAAACTACTGGTATGGTGGAAAAGGCACTTAACTGGAGACTTGATTTCTAGTTTTGGTTCTGGCCAGCTTTTATTCCTTATCTGTAAAAATAATGTGGAATATGTTGCTAACTGCTGACCAGCATGTTTGTCTCCTATTTACCCCTTATGAAACTCTAACTTTATATAGGGTGGCAATATGCTCAGCCAAAACTTTAGAGTTTCCGGCCTCTCTTGCAGCTAGAGGTGATCATGTGACATAGTTCTGACCATGCAGTGCAAAATTCGATAAACGGTGGCAGGATGTGCTAGCAGGTACTTTCCCCCCTCACCCTTTCCCTTCTTTCTCCTTGGCACGCAGATGCAAGGCAGGAGTGTGGTGTCCATACTGTGACCCAGCATGAAGATAAAAACAACCCACTGAAACATGGCTTGGAGAAGAAATCTCAAACTTTGATGGCACTGTGGTACCACCATAATAGCCTTGAATCACAAACTTGCTTTTATATGAGAAATATACGACTCCTAATTTTCTTAAGTCACTGTTCAGTCAGATTTTCTGTTCCTATCGGCCAAACACATTCTTTGTTGACACAGGGAACACATTAGACCAGAAGATTCCCAGACCGTAATTCTTTCAACTCTGCCTCCCAATGTGCATAGTGCAGGCTCCTCCCTCTTTCTAAATCTCTAAAGCAGAGTTACTTTACTTAGTGCAGAGTATTTAAATAAGTATTATTCATTATCTTCTTGTTTTTGAAAATAGCAAAGATTTTCAGCAGAAAGGTAAGTTTCCAGAAGACTTAAACTTTCAAGAAACTTTACAATATCACTGATGATAACTCCAAATAATTCTCAAAAAGAGTTAGACCCTTTAGGCCAGGTGCTGTGGCTCACACCTGCAAACCTGACCCTTTGGGAGGCCGAGGCAGAAGGATCGCTTGAGGCCAGGAATTTGAATAGGACTTTGGAACCAGCCTGGGTAATATAGTGAGACCCTGTCTCTATAAAAAACAATTTGCTGGGTGTGATGGTACATGCCTGTTGTCTCAGCTACTCAGGAGGCTCCCAGGAGTCTGAGATTGCAGTGAGCTGTGATCATGCCACTGCACTCTAGCCAGGAAGACAGAGTGAAACTCTGTCCAGAACCAAAACAAAATAAAACAAAACAACAAAACAGAGTTAGACCCTTTATCAGTGGTCCCCAACCTTTTTGGCACCAGGGAAGAGTGAGCAATGGGGAGCAGCTGTAAATACAGATGAAGCTTTGCTCGCCCACTGCTCACCTCCTGCTGTGCAGCCTGGTCCCTAACAGGCCACAGACCAAACCAGTCCGCAGCCCAGGGGCTGGAGACCATAGCTTTAGATCATCAGGCAAACTTACAACTCCTGAAAAGGCAAAGGGGAGAACAAAGTTTATTTTTTTCCCCAGTTATCATGCATATGATAAATTATCATAATTAAATACTTTATTATGGTTACGATTTTAAGTAGTGGTAAAAAAAAGTCTTTGACAGCCCAATCTCTCAGCTTAAAGTGCACAGTAATTATAATAATGTATAATGATATACAAATGCCTTTACTGAAATTTAGTATCTTCCCCCACCTGCAGGATATTCCAAAATAGTTTAACCTCTTTACCTACTTTTAACCACATAAAGAAACAGATGGCAAAATATTATCCCCATGGTACAGATGGCCAAACTGAGGCCACAGGGTTAGGTGATTTATCAAAGCCACAAAGAAAGCCAATGCCAGAGAGGGGGTTCATTTTAAGAAACCACGTGTCTCTATCATTACAAGGTAAACGGGGAAGTGGCTAGAACGGCACAAATTAAGAAAAATCATAGCTTTTAATATTGAATCTTTATTTAGGTAATCTTGTAAAAGTTTTCTTTGGATGAAAGGCCATGGCTCTTTCCTATCTTTGCCATTCCTTATAAAGAAGTACTGCAGAAGCTACCATACATTTCTCATCCTTGGCTCTTCCCAAGCAGCAAGCACCTACCAGGGTCAGGGAGGGGACAAATGTCTTCCGTGTGAATTTATATGCAACTTGACTACTTTCATTCATTCAACCAATATTTGAGCATAAAACCCACTGTGTGAGGCACAATGAAGATAGCGAAATATATAAGTTACAGATCTTTCCTTTTGGAGGTTTCACTCTAGGAGGGCAATGAAACATGTACAGTAACTAACAAAGCCAGACACAGTTCGTGGAGTCAATGTGCAGACACGAAAGGCTGCAGGAGTTTAACGAGTGTGAGATGATGGCAAGCTGGGTGGAGCAGGGGAAGTTTCATGTCAAAAGTGGTACTTGAGCTGGTCTTGGGACGGGCAAAATGTGTTCATAGGTGAAGGCAGTAGGGACAGTATGGGATTTTCAAAGCCTGGATGAAAATGGATTACTATGTTTCCAGGCGCTATATGAATGACTACAAATACATGATTTCATTTGCTCCTTCTGCAATACTTGTACTTCTTTCAACATAGAGATTATGGTCTCCAATTTAGAGAGGAGAAACCTATAGTTCAGAGAGGTAAAGTAACATAACAAGTGGAGGACAATGAATTCTAACACTGGTCCATCTGACCCCCTGAGCTTTTGTGTTTTTACACTACTATAGACTAAATGTTTGTATTCCCCCTAAATCCAATGTTGAAATCCTAACCCCCTATGTGATGGTACTATGTAGTGGGGCCTTTGCAAGGTGATTAGGTCATGAGGGTGGACCCCTCATGAATGGGATTAGTGCCTTTATAAAAGAGACCCCAGAGAGTTCCCTTGCCCCTTCAGCCATGTGAGGACACAGCAAGAAGACAGCCTTCTATGACCCTTGCCAGACATGGAATCTGCCAGAGCCTTGATCTTGGACTTCCCAGCCTCTAGAACTGTGAGCAATAAGTTTCTGTTGTTTATAGCCACCCAGTCTATGGTATTTTGTTCTAACAGCCCAAACAGACAAAGACACCTGCTATGCTATGCTGCCTCACTCCGAAGCCCTATTTATTTTTTTGCCTTGCTTTGAAATCTTTTGAGAGAAGTTTTCTTTGTAAAATTTGGCTACTAAATTTCCAAATACAGCTTATGTTTACAGTAAAAAATAGGGCCCTTGTTCTTTTTAGTGAGGTTACCTTGCTCTGCTGTAACTCTGTTAAAATATCTCCTCTGTCCTGAGCACCGAGATGTGTTAAACAGTCATTGCTTACTGACTGGTGCTCAGTGCTTGTCTAGTTGAGGCTTTCCCATGAGAAATGTCGGGGAAGGCAGCAGAAGACTTGTAACCTGGTGCTAACCAGAGGTGAACACACCATGGGATTCTGAGCAAGAGAATAGTAAATGGCCTCCCCTGAGCCCCACCCCCATCTCCTAAAGACCTAATAAAGGACACACATTTCTCTTCTTCAAAGCCATTTTAAAGTTTGATTTTCTAATGATTTCCCATTTCAGGTTGTGACAACTTTATGTAATAAAAGAAGCGTCAGAGGTTGCATTCTCCTTAATGTGCCCATGTCTCATCTATGCCATACTGCCTCCCCCCGTTCCACTGTCCTTCCTCAACTTTGGTCTCATCCTCCTAAAACTCCAAGTCTTAGTCCCAAATGTGATATCATTCCAAGCACACACTTTCCAACTAGTTCAGAGAAGAAGGAAAGGGAATACAGTACCTGCAGTAAATACTTCTTAAATAATGAGAGGCTGAATTCCAACCTTTTAAAAATATCTTAGCCAAAAAAAAAGTCTTATGTTAGCCTGTCTCAACTCTATGATTCTTACCACAAAGATGCAACTGAAGAGTTTCATCACAACTACTCCAATTCCCTTCACCAGACCACCAAGCGGGGTGGGGTGCAATAAGAATGGGTACCTGAGCAGACCTTCCAGAAAGGAGAACCGAGGATGCTGGGAACCATCTTGAATTCTGGTGAAAACAAAGAATCTTTGGTATTCCATAATTCTCACACTAGACATCTTTCTCTTTTCCTCATATACAATTTTATGACTATGAATAGGAGATCAAAACTAATTGTGCTGTGGGCTAAGGAGGTCCATTCTGTTTCAAGCCAGCATGGACTATTCTGGCAAATGTGTTCAGTCATCTAGCATGAAGCAGCTCCCAATCATGTACCCATGAGTTTACTCGTGGGTACTACCCATGCTAGTTACAATACTTTCTAGAACTACAGTTTTAAGGCAAGGCACATATTAGGCACTCTCACTATTTATTGACTAAATATACACATATTATTTATGTTCTTCACGAGTCCTTCACAAATTTTTTTATTGTAGTTCCTGTAGAAGAATCTAAGACTGAGAGGAAAGGTTCATTGAACAGTAGTGTTACACTCATTTTAATAAGGACATTAAAAGCCCAGAGGGTAAGGGGAAAGGCAAAGAGGCAGCTTATCCAGCTCTCCTGATCGCTAGCATACTGTCCTTCCCAATTCTTACTATAATAACTCGCTACACCATGACTCTTCCTTTGCTTGGAGTGCTCTCCATTCCTATAAGCATCTTTTAAGATTGGACTTCAACATTACCTACACGTTGAATTCTCTTTATTTGATACAAAGTGATAAGTAATAGCACATTCCACATCATCTCCTAATTACTTATTTCCTTGTTATGTCTCTCTCCTGCACTAGGTGTATGCTCTGGAAAGAGAGGAACCACTGGCCCCAGTGTCTACACAAACACTCGGGAAATCCTTGTCTAATGAATGAATGAACCTCCATAGCCCCCTCTCTGAGCTCCTGCAGAAACTTTTGCTTTGAACATTCATTTAGCATTTAGAATATGTTAACCTGGCCATAAAAAGATGAGGGAGAGACAACATACGCCTTATCTCCCTGAGACCATAAATATTCTGATTAAAAGGGCTTTATATATCTGCTTCCCCACTACAGTTTAGATGCTCAATGAACATTAACTATAAAGACAATATCATAATAGTATTTAAAAAGACTTATTTTGGGACCTTGTAATCCAATTCAGATGCAGGTTTTTGAATTAAAAAATCAATCAATCAATCTATCTATCTATATAGAGAGAAAGCCTCTCTGATTATACCACACACCAAGATGAAATAATAAGTGATCTTGAGAAAGTTCTACCAACGATCACAAGATGTTTAAGAATGAAGCAAGTAAGTTTTTATGATTGTGGATCTAGAAATCGCTTCACATCATAGTCAGAATGCTTATTTTCGTCAATGTGACTTCCATGTGTGCACTGGACAGCCTTCTTACCTGCCGTATTTCCCTGAGATGCACACAGAGTATTTATAAAGGGATTCAGATTTGTGGGACTAACACTGAGATTGATGCAAGAAATATCAGTTTCCCCAGGCGTATGTCAAAGCAGACAAGAGACCATAACTTTCTAGGATGTTTTATGATACCAGCTGGTAGATCACAGACCTACCTAAACGGAAGTCTGATGGAAGAAAGCAAACGTGGTTACAATTATTCATACGCCTACTGTGGGAGGTTCATAAACAAAATAATAAATATTTTCATCTTGCAATAAGATCAAGTTAAGTGATTTGCTGACATTCTCTTAAGGTTTAAAGCTTGACTTTAATGTGAAATACAAATCATATTTCTGTGGGCACATTTTAATAATAAACTTAAAAGCATATGAGACAAAAATAATGAAAACTTTGCAATGAAAACCAGACAAACTGTCTACCACTTTAAAAGCAGTGAATGGAGACTGCTTGTTAACACCCTAATGCAAACAACCTCAACACAAAATGCTACATATTTAAATCAGCTTTCATGGAAAGAGAATTAGCAGGGATGAGAGAATGAAAAAAAGCTATTACTTGAAAACAGGTAACTGACCACATGGAAATAAACTCAACTAACACATGCACATGTGTACACACACACACACACACACCCTCTCACATAACTTGTGCAACAGATTTGATTTAATTCACGTTACTTCCCACTTCTTTGCAAAAATCCCACTGGCAAAAAACATTTTGGTTTAATGCCTTTTTGCCTTAGGAAAGGACCAAAGATTTGATGTCAAATCTCTTTGGTCTCTAAAATTTCAAGGCTGTTCCCAAAGATAAGAAATTGGAACACTCACTGCCCTTAGGAGCATTCTGGGGGAGTCCTCATTGTCTCTCCTTTTGCTACTCTGGTCCGAAGGCCGTGATATAAGCACAACCCAGGGTCCCTGCGGAGGAGCTCACCTCTGGGTCCTGTGATGACAGGTCGGTGATGCTGTGTGAATGCTGTTCCCAGGGAGGAGGTCTGCGAAGGGGAGGGGCTGCTGAAACCAGACTTCTCCGACTTCTTCAGTGTGGTTGGAGATGGCATTCCTGGCAAGAAGGATTGGTTGATAAGTACACTTTAATTCATGGAATATTGGCTTGTGCAACCTAAAAGAGAATACTTCAAGAATTTTTTTAAAAAAGGAATCTACCTGTGAATGGAAAATTTGTTTTGAATTACTTTGCATTTGTCACAGAAACAAAAAAGGGACAGTATGGTCCCCTGATAAGTTGGTCTATAATTGATTTCAATTTATTCTACTAAATCACAGACCATTTGGGGTTACTGAATCTTCTCTAATAACACAGGATTGAACTTTTCCAGTGTTGTATGTGACTGTGACCTCTGGGACCCTTGAAAAGAAGACCACATACACACACATGAAGACCTTACATGCAATCACTTCATCTTGCCAGTTACCTGACTTCAGCACCAAAGTACTTTTTCCATATTTTACGTAATTTAGCTATCTTAACATAAAAACACCCTCAACAATGGCAACTCAGTTGTTCATTCAATAAATTATTTATAATAGAAGAAAAGAAAAAATAAAAGTAAAAAAATCTTAAATGCCCAACAATTGGGGATTGGTTAAATACACATGGCACGACCAATGCAAACAATACTGTAAAAGAGTAATGATATGGAAAGATATTCATAATATAATGTTAATTGAAAAAATCAATTACAAAATGGGATGTTTACTTTGACACCATTTAAAGAGGTATTTCTATGCACAGAGAAAGAACTGGAAGGAAATCGCATAAACTGTTAACAGTAGTTCTCTCTGTGTGTTGGATTGGGGTGATTTGCATTGCCTTCTTTTTGCTTACTTGTCTTTTCTATGATGAACATACATTACTTTTACGTTAAGAAAATGCAATAAAAGCTTGCTTTTAAAAATAGTATTTTTACTATATAGTCTAAGGTTTTCACAGCATTTCCAGCATAGGAAATACTTTGGGAAGAAAATAATGGGAAAATTATCCCTTGTAATTACTGGATTTGTAATGTTCTCAGCAACCATGCTGACATACACAACTGGAGGCATCTATCAGTTTGGTAGGGTGCCAATTAAAACAATGAAAACTGAGACATAAAAATAAAGGAAATGACTCCTAGTCTCCGCACAAGAGCACAACTTTGGGCTCTCTTAGGTTTGCAGCATAAAATTGGTGTGCAATGATGTCAAAAGAAACAAATTTCGTTTTACCTATAGATGTCTACTTGTGTTGTGTTCTGCCTATGACTAGAGAATTATTTGGGTGAACTGGAAAAATAAGTAACAAAAATAATAATGATATTAGCATGTAACTGTTACTGAGTAATTGCTAGGTACCATGGTCTAGATCTGTCCAGAAATTTAGTTTGGTCTATATATAAGTATGTCCTTGTTATTTCTGATCACAAATTTCCTTAATGCGATTCTACAACATGACTTTTCAAGTGTGACTACAGATTCTATAAGGACAGAGACCATGTCTGTTCTGCCTCCCTCTATGTTTAAGACATCTATCAAAAGGTCCAGAACATACCAAGGTCTGAAAAGGTATTTAAACTACTTGCACAGTTCTTAGTTTTATCTGTTGCTTTACTAACAGATGCTTGGACATAGCAAAACTTGGGGTTTTGACTCCAAAGAAAGAAACAAATTGCAAATTGGTAAGCACATTTGCATAGGCAGACATGAATACAATATGAATACAATGATATCTTACTAATTTGACTAATGTGAATCAGATCCTTTCTAGATCAATATCCATTTGTGATCTGAATTAAAAACAAAGTCACTAAGTTAAGTGACTTTAATTGTGTTTGCTTGCTTGTTGAATCAGTAACCAGTCACACCGTATCAATGTTCCAACACAGGATGCATTGAGGTTTTGGATGAACATTCACTGCAACTAACCTAAGCTGTGGTCATCATCATGTAATTACATTAGGGAGGAGATTTCAAATAAAAAGATTAAAGAAATAAAGCTACAAAAATGTAAATCTCCTAAGTCATCCAAACCTCTTTGTGCAAATCAGTTTTTAGGCTGTCAACCAGTCCACTGATTTAAATTCAGTCAAATGCCTGGACTGTGTGTCATGAAACAAAAATAGAATAGAAAATGAAAAATGTCCAAACTTTGAAGATGGCAGATTTTTTTTTTTTTTTTGGACAATGGAATCACTGAGGAAATCTAGTATCTGAACTAATGTTATTAAAGATAGCAAATGGGTGGGGCGCGGTGGCTCACGTCTGTAATCCTAGCACTCTGGGAGGCCGAGGCGGGCGGATTGTTTGAGCTCAGGAGTTCGAGACCAGCCTGAGCAAGAGCGAGACCCCTTCTCTACTAAAAATAGAAAGAAATTAATCGGACAACTAAAAATACATAGAAAAAATTAGCCGGGCATGGTGGCGCATGCCTGTAGTCCCAGCTACTCGGGAGGCTGAGGCAGAAGGATTGCTTGAGCCCAGGAGTTTGAGGTTGCTGTGAGCTAGGCTGATGCCACGGCACTCACTCTAGCCTGGGCAACAAAGCGAGACTCCGTCTCAAAAAAAAAAAAAAAAAGAAAAAAAATAAAGATAGCAAATGGCTGCACTCAAGAAGAAGTTATTACTTCTTTGAAAAGTTCATGCTTTCCAATCCATGTCATTTTAAATACTGCAGAAATAATGACATGATTTAAATCCACTGTTTGCCCTTTCAAAAGAGGAATTATAAGTAAAATTTAGGCCATAACGAGTATCAAGAATGATCAAGTTGGTATATGAATTTAAAAAACAGTAAAATTCAAATCCTTTTTGAAAGGGTTAAAGAGGAAAGAAATACTGTTAGCATGCAAGAACAAGCCAAACCATGTATAATCTTCTAAATTTATCATAGTCAAGGAATATGAACCCTAAGGCTGTCATGAATCTCAAAATTACTTTGTGTTTTCAATTTTTAAAGACTCGTATTGAGCACATTTCCTTATTATATACTTTAATATTTTCTCTACATGCATAATGTATGTTTTGGTTAATTTGCTTCGTATACTTAATTGACCAGACAAAATTTCAAAATGCTAGTAAACTGCTCTATGTTAAAAGTTAGAGAACATTAATCTTGGCTTTTATTTTTGAAATCAAACTTGGTTCTGTACATTACTTTAAAAATAATCTCCTCATTAAAATCTATTTTGGCAATTATCTATGCACAACTGTTACACAATTACTGTACAGATTAATGACTGATTGGCTTTCTCCTAATGAATCAAAACTGTAATTCCAATTTATTTTCAATGAGTATCAGATTTTTTTTGAAAAAGATAAAATAATGCTACCCCTTTCCTGAAGCAAACAAAATATTATTTCAAAGTTCAATACAGAAAAATAAAGAATTTTACAGCAGGAGAAGCAAACATCTAGCATGTTTTGTTTCAGTGGGACATTTCATCCTTTTGATTGGTATAAGAAACCCAAAGATGGTAAACAGAACTGGAGAAAGATTTCAAGAAGCATTTTTGGCTTGTCACTGGTTTTCTAAACATCCACTCTTTCCGAATTTCTCTCCATTTTGCCATTTTTCTAACTCACCTGAATCATTCCCAATCATGTTCAGTAGACAAAGGCAAACATACATGGGATTCTAGTCATTTAGTGGCTCTAATCCCTGGAGGTACTTGTAAGTGTGAAGCCCAACAAGAAAACCTTGAAAATATAGGCCAAATACAGTATTCACAAAGATTCCTTTAGATTCATCATTGATATTTGTGGTAGTCAGAATTCTAAAATGGTTCCAAGGTTTGTGGCCCCTGGTGTACATACCTTGTATAGTCCCCTTGCATGTGGGCGGTACTTGTGAATATGATGACTGTCACTCTTGTGATAAGGTTTTCTTACATTGCAAAGGCAAAGGGACTTTTGCAGATATATTAATAATTAAGGTCCCTAATCATGGGACTTTGAGTTAAGGAAAGGAATATTATCCCTGGTGTCCCTGACCTAATCAGGTGAGCTCTGTAAAAGAGGAACTAGAAGTCAGAGAGATTCTCCCTCAGGCTTTAAAGAAGTCGGCTGCCACGTTGTCAAAGGGCTTGTGAGAGGGCCACATGGCAAGGAACTGCAGGCACCTCTAAGAGCTGAGTGGGGCCCCTGGCTGACAGCCAGGTTTCAGAAAGCTGAGACCTTAGACCTAAAGCCACAAGGAACTGTGTTCTGCCAACAATCATGAGAATTTGCAAGAGGACCTCAAGCTCCAGAAAGGAAGGAAACCTGGACAAAACTTTAATTTCAGCCTTATGAGACCCAAGCAGAGGGCCCAGTTAAGCTGTGCCCAGACTCCTGACCCAGGGAAACTGTGAGATAATAAATAAATGTGTGTTTTTCAAGTTGCAGAGTCTATGGTAATTTGTTATGCAGCAATAGAAAACTAACATATTCAAATATAAGATTATTGCCAGTGCAACAAATGTGTACATTAAAGTTGCCTAATGTATACTAATTAGTCCCTAGAATTCCAGATGTTTCCATTATTTTCACCTAATCCACCCTAGATTGTGAGAGGTTTTTTTTTTTTTTTCATTAGCCTACACCAACCCAGAGAAAATGGTAAGACATCTTTTTAGAAAAGGGGCTAGGAAGTTGTTATTTCTAAGGACAGAAATGCTTTTGAAAATTTTTATTTCTCCCTGCTTCTTTCAAGTAATATCAATAATAAATCAGATTGAATGATATGAAAACTCAAAATTAATTCTTGGGGTCTCATAAGAAATCAAGGTTTATCTTGGGGAACTTTTCATTGCAACCTGGTATTACAAAAAAATAAAAAGAAGAAATACGGAAAAATCATAAATAGTTTCACCTCTCTCCCACCCCCAAATTATGAGATTTACCAAACACTTTGTCATGAACTCTACAGTGACAATGGTAAAGGAAATACTATAGGAATGATTAGAAAGTACAGTGCTATTCTTTGCTTGAGAAAACTTCTTAAAGGGAGTATTTTTAGGAGTGAAAAGAGCTACAGTATTAAAATATTAATGGGAATTGGGAAGAAGAAAAGTATCACCATAAACT